GGATATTAATTTATGATAATTATAATTTTTTATTATACAAATATAATATATTTAAAATATTTAAAAAATGTGATAAAGATTTTAAATAATATAAATTTTGATCTATAATGCTACAAATTTAATCTATAGTTATTTGTATTTTTTAAATTTGTAATCTTAAAAAATGTCATAAAATTTGTAATTTTTATTATACATTAATGCTAAAAATTAATATTATTAATTATTTAATTTATAATGTTGAAAAATTGATACTAATTATTATTATTGAAATAATAATTATATTTTTAATGAATTAACTTTTTTTAATAAAAGAATAAGAAATTAAACTTGAGGTAGTATGGTCAAATAACATCTTACTTTTTAAAATTTTAAATAGTTATGTTTCAAAAATTTATTTTTAGCTACTGTTTGAATGTGCTTTCTTACAAAATATTTTAACCAAATAATTTTTAACTTTTTAAAAGTAAAATTTTACTTTTAAAATATAAAATGGGAAAAAATCAAATGGGCCCTTAATTGTCATGCCCTGATGGTTATTAAACACAAAGCAAGAGAGTTTTCCATGACTTGATGCTTCAAAGGCAACAATCTCCTTAAAGAATGTCAATAATTACTTTTCATAATTTAAAAAGTGGATAAAAACTTGATATCTGCTAGGCAGAAGCAAATATATATATATATATATATATATATTCAATAAAACCAGAGGCATGAAGATATTCTTTTTGCAAGAAGTAAGAACCAAGAAAAGATAAACATGAATGACACTGAACCTAATTAGAAACCCATGCCCGCGACAAAAGGGCAAAAATTTGGGGCGTTACCTTCGGGCTGTCAGAGCCAGGGGTGACCATGTTAGGCTTGAGAAGAGTTCCTTCAAGAAGAACATGGTGATCATTGAGCGCCTTGTAAACAGCGGCAAGCACAGTTTCAGTAACAGCAGCACACTTGGCAATGTCATGAGACCCGTCAGTCAGAATCTCAGGCTCCACAATCGGCACCAGCCCATTCTCCTGGCAAATAATCGCGTAACGAGCCAATCCCTGAGCATTCTGCTGGATCGATAACTCCGACGGCTCGGTCGGTCCAATTTTCAACACCGCGCGCCACTTCGCGAATCGCGCACCGGCCTTGTAGTATTGCTCGCACCGAGATCCGAGCGAATCGAAGCCCTGAGTGGTGGTTTCGCCATTGGTTCCGGCTAGTTCGACAATGCCTTTGTCGACCTTGATGCCTGGAACGACGCCGTTTTCTTGGAGGACTTCGATAAAGGGCTTGCCAGATGCAGTTTTCTGATAGAGGGTTTCTTCGAAGAGGATAACGCCGGAGAGGAATTGGAGAGCGTTGGGAGCAGTGAAGAGGAGCTCGCGCAGGGCTTGGCGATTGGACTCGATGTTCTCCACGTTAATGCTGGCCAGACGCTTGCCGATCGTGCCGGTGCTCTCGTCGGCGGCGAGAATGCCCTTGCCGGGAGTCGCGATGTACTTGGCGGTCTTGATGAGTGCATCTAAATGAAAATCCAAACCATTTATAGAAAAGAATATTAAATAATACTTGTCAGTTTAAAAATATAAAATATTTTATATTAAATTTTATTTTTAATAAAATAATTATTTATTTTTAATTAATTTATTTTTTTATATTCACTCTTATTAAACACTTTAAAATAAATATAAAATTATTATTAATAAAGATATTTTAAAAAAAAAATATTACACATTAAAAATTAAAAATACTTTATATTTTTAAACATCCAACTCTTTAAAAAATATTTTACATTTTTAAATGAAGAGAGTATTTATTTTTGTAATTTCTTATCTTGTTTTCTGTTTACCCAATTTTTACGTTGCCATTGGTATCATTTTTATTCTTTTTTGTCTTTATTGTGTGCGTATATTTTATAATTACAATGAATGAATATCATATAAAATGTGTATCTTTTTTTTTTCTATTTGTTGGTTGCACTCCTTTTTTAGCGAAATTTTAAGGTAACTAAATAGATTTAAACCTACAAATAAAATTCATGAACGATAAACATTAAAAGCTTCAAATGGGGTAGCCTGCATCAAAAAGTTCCTTTGAACTTTTAATCTCCTACAAACAATTCTTTTCCTTTTTGACAACTACAAACATTTCTTTGAACTGATAAATTAAAAAAAAAAACTCTAAATCTATCTATATTTTATCTTTTTTTTTATTCAGTTTCATCTTCGGCATTATCGTCACATCAAGCACTTCAACTTCTTTCCAACACCGTATAACATGCCGGGATCGGAAATAAATAAGAACTGGCCATATAATTATAATAAATACAATATAATGTTTAGTTTAGAAACTAATTGACCTATTTAAACTTTTGCGAACTCAAAATTAACGGAGAATTCTCCAAAATTCTGTAAAAAAAAAAAAAGTTTCTGAATTTATTTTTTTATTTGATTACACAGTAATTAAGTATCCACGAGAAAGAGATAAAGGGAGAGCGGATAGATTCCTTGAAGAGAGAGAGAGAGAGAGAGAGAGAGGTGAAAAGAGTGAGAAAAATTATTCTTCAAAGGAAAATGCAGCAGCAATAAGATACAATACAACACAAACCAACCAGAAAAGAAAACGAAAAAAGAAAAGGCAATGCGTTATAAGACTTGGTACCATTTTGTGGGTGAAGAACAAGAAGAGAAGGCTTACCTGCATGTTTCCCAACAAAGGCAGACATGGTTGAAACTTCAAGCTTCAAGTGTATGGGAGAGCGGAAAAAAACAGATATTGAAGTTGACAGTACAAATAACTGAGCGCAACCAGCCCAATCTTTATAGAGCAAAATTGGAAGGAATATTCCAAAGAATATATACACCCTATACAAAACCAACACGTGTCCTGGTATTTACCTCCCGATGGTTATCTCCTTTGGATAAACAAACCACTGATCTCTCTCCCCGCCACGTGGCCACTCATCCTTCTTAATATTATACTCACCTCAGGCTCAGAGCTCAATTCCTTTTTGTTTTGTTTTTTTTTTTTTTTTGAATGCTCTATTTTATCCTATCATCCTCACCCTGTTTGTTTTCCTCAAGATATTAAACTCGAGATACGGAGACATTGCCCAGAACACACTTCTGTGGATTGTTCTCAATTCTCATAACTCTGTCTCAGCCACAGTATTCATCTGTTTTCTTTTTTCTTTAATTATTTTTTGTCTTGTTTTGGAATCAGTTAGCTACCTCACAACAAATGTGCATGCAAATAGCATTTAAGATTTAATGTCAAGCTCCTTGGCTATTCAAGAAGCAATCTTATATCTAACCAAAACAAAATTAAACTTATATAAATATATATATTCATTATTGTATATACAAATCTTGGTGGGGGAAGTAACTGTAAAAGAAATCTCAATAATATTATTGTCAAAATTGATTTAAAACAGACATTTAGAGCATCAAATCATCCAAAATTAATGTGGATTTTGCCACCACTTGTTGGTCACTGCAATAAATTTTTATTCTTGGACTTTTTTGGTTTTTTTTTTGCACACCACATGCACACTTTGAGGTGCCTGGAAAGATAATAAGCAAACTGCAATTAGGGCCACCCGAGGTCTGAGGTATTTTCTTTTTGCTGGAGAGGCTCGAGATATTTTTAAAACAACAAAATATAGTGAGAGAAATAGGCAGATGAATCATGAGCCAGTTGCTTACTGATATGAGATTCAGAAATGTCATGTTGGACTCTGGTACACCCTTTCTGATAAGCAAAGCAATTGCTTGAACAGAAGATTACCTAAGGAAGAAAATATTTGAAAGTTCATGCAAATGGAAAAGAACAGACCAAATATCAAAAGTTCTAGAACTAAGTTGCAGGGGACTACAAACAGTTTTTTCTATACTCTATCTGATGTAGCAAGGAAAATTTGAACTGATGGATGACGACCTAAAAACTGAAACGAAAATCATGCAATATGAGAACGACAAACCTGTTCCTAGGATAGGATCCAATAGCTACACATGTATTCTATCTGGGATATTGGAACAACTAAGACTCTAAGAGGATATCTTCAAATTTATTATTCAGAATTGGAAGCAAGGAAGACAACATCTGAGAATCAAATGCCCCTGTATTGATGTCAACAATGCACTAGAAACTTGTACCTCCGGATAACAGGGACACCACATCACCTCTTGCAAAAGTCACTTATACTTCAGTAATAAAAGATTCTAATGACTACAAATAGAGCAGTTGTTAACAGTGAATTTAACTTTTTTTTACCAATAAATGATAACCTCATACACTTTAAAATGTCAAAGAACATATAGTTGGTGCAGTTCCCCGACTTGATGACAATATGGGAGCAGTTGATGACCAGTAAACCATCAAACACATCCAACAAAACTTTTAGTGAAAAAGAGGAGATTGATGCATCCGCTGAGCCACAGAGAAAACATGTAACAGTATTCAACACATTTATTCAACCAACAATTCAGCAGCCTCAAATAAGGCATGGGAAACACCTAATGACACCAAGGCCAACCCAATCTATATGCATTGCAAGCGTTTTGTTCTGAGCTTCCATGGCTGTCTATACCTGAAATTACTTCTTATTAGATTGTTCAAGTACAAGTGGACATAAGATGACATAGGAAGTCCCACATCAAATAAAGTTGAGTTTAATAACTAATATAAATAAAGAGAAATGACCCATACACTTAAGCCTTGAGGTTTTGAGTTAAAATGTGACGTTCTTCCGTTGCTCTTTCCCATCTCTCCTCTCCCCCCATTCTTAGGTGGTCACTCCCCATTCCTAACAAGTGATACGACATAAGACTAGCTATTAAGCCCAATCCTAACAAGTTTTATCAAATAAAGAGTATATAAGACTTATTAAACTCAACTTTATTCGATATGGGACTTCCCACATTGTTTTATATCCACTAATACTTGAACAACCTAACATCAAGTCCCTGTTTTTTAGAGCCAACCTAGTTTTCAGGCTTCAAATGATGTAACACACACAAGTTGTTCACGATCACCGTCTCGTTCCCTCTGAACCTCCAATTCAGGTTCATGATCCTCATGGCCACGACCCCATCTATGCTCACCCACATCTCTGGATCTTCAGGCCCTGAAAGTGACGTCTCTATCACAATTTCATGCTCCTTCTTGCCTTCCTGAAGCATCGCTTTCGTGCAGAACATCTTCTTCCCGTACACGATCTCTTTCTTGTACAGCAATACAGCTTCTTCTGGGCATGGTCTTGACCTGGTTCTTTCATGAGCTTCTTTCTCTAAATCTCCTAGGAACAAAAGCGTCTCCTTTCTGTGCACCAAGGCAACGTAGTAATCTGAACGAAGTTGTGGGTCTATGGAGAATTTCGCGTGCCGGAAATCCCAGAATATGTCCACTCGATTCCCCTGAATTTCCAAGGTTTTTAGGCCCTTTTTCCCCCAGTTTTGTTTGAATATTGAGTCGATCTTGCAATTGTACGGGTTTTGCTGTGCTGGGTTTTCAATGCTGATGCAGAGAGAATGGTCAGTGAGGTCCTTGCTCCATGTCGCCATCACACTTCGACATATCTGAGGTTGTTTGATCTGATACACAAACGTAATAGAATGCTGTTCTTTAGCAGGTAAAGGCGCAGCTTCTGCAAAATTCCTAGCCATTGACTACACAATTTGGGTAACCTTGAACAGTTGAACTGAGCCTTCCTGCAGATAGACTGACTATAATATTTACATTTGAATCTGAACTTGTTTCTTTTGATCAAGAAGAGACAAAATAGGCAAACCCCATTATGCTGCCTTGAACAAAACGATGATTGACCATCTTTGGTTTGTTAAACCAGAGAAGCTTCAAGATTTCAATCATCATGCAGGCAAGGTGTTTGCATATATGCTTTCAAGATCAGGACAACAAGCTTCCGAATTTTGTTGTTCTAGAAGATTCTGCCCCCAAACCGGTTCTTAATTAGAAGTTGAATGAGCAACAAGGTAAGGAAAATGATCATAAAGGGATCAAATCCCTGAGATTTGACCTGGCAATGAAAGATTTACCTGGAAATGCTTGTCAATGAGGCGTTGGGAACACAAGTTTTTGAATAGAAACTGAAGTCATATATTAAAGCGACTCACAAAAGTTGAAATTCATTCTGTTGTGACCTATTAATCGATAGATTACAATTTGAGAAAGAAAATAGCTGGTTTTGTGGTTAAGTATAGCAATGCCAGAGCAAGGTCCTGCATTTTTTGGCTACCATTTATAGTAAGGGTCACGATTTGGATAAAATAAGTTTAGTAAAGACTAAAAAATAGTTGAGGCTGGTTGTGATGCTTTTAAATCATTTTTTACTAATATAGCTTTTCTTTTTGTTTTTTTTTCTGGTCAATACTTCTTCTTTACGAGCGGGGTGTGTGTTCATTTATAACATTATATTATACATAAAACTAGATTTATCTTTTAGTATATAAAAGATAAAAATACAAAATTTAAAAGTTTTAAAAATAATTTTAAAGTATTTATAATTTAAAGTAAAATGTGTTGTCCTCCCTTTACTTTATCTTAATTGTAGATACTTCTTTTCTACTTTTAAAATTTAAACAAGCATCCCTTAAAATTAATAAATACAAATACAATCATTTCTTATATTTTTAATTTTTTATTTTCATCCACCCAATTAACATTTAAGTCATATATATTAAATTAAAATAAATTTTTAAATAGAAATATTATCTAAAAATTATTTATGTTACCCCAAAACATTTCAAGGATATATGCTTTTAAATTTTTATTTATTTTTTAAATTTAATAATTATAAAAATATGTATTTATTATTTTAATAAATTTAAATATATAAATTTTCTAAATAATATTTTAAATATGTATGTAAAAAAAAATAAATAGAATATGAATTTTTTTGGTTAATTAACGGAATAAGAATTTAATATAATAAGAGATAGATTACTCAACATAATTTATACTTATTTTCATTTAAAATTTATAATTTTAGTAAAATAATTTTAAATTATTTGTAAAACAATTAAATTTTTATTTTATTCTTCAGTTTATTATCTTATACAAATAAAATTTAAAAGTGATGAAATATATTATTTATAATTTTTTATTTTGAGTAAATTAAATTTCAAAACAAAAATCACCAAGTTATCAATGTACTTTTTATACTTTATCTAGGTAATCTCTAAATTCTATTGTATATTTAACACCTATATATTATTTTTATTAAGAATCTAACGTCTCCACCAATTTTTATTATGATTCTTACGTGATTTTTTAAAATATAAAAATCATATTTTTATACCTTATCTAAATGTTTAAAATTTACAAATGAAAATATATATAGCAAAAAAATTCTACATATAAAAATAAATTTTATTAACTAAATTACGAGTTTTACATTCATCCCATTTTTTTCTAATGGTGTGTCCCATGAAAATTTTTTAAGTAGACTAAGTGTTTTACATCATTTTTTATTTGTCCAGTAAAAACATAATATTTAGATGATATTAAATATAAATTAATTATGATATTAATGATAATAGAAAGAAAAAACACAATAAATTAATTATACACTCTATTATAAGAATAAAATTAATTAAAATAATGACACGTAAGATTTTACTTAGATAACTTAAAGTATTCTAATAGATAAATCACAAATGACGTAATGCATCCAATCTATTTAAAAATTCTCATGTCTCACACTCACATTTTTTTATCATGGGTTTCACTTATGCTCACTTTTTTAAAAAAAAAATAATGAACAATTTTTATTTTGCCCTCTTCTCTATTTTATCTTACTTTCAAATATTTCTATTTTATTTTAAAAATAAGCTAAATTATTTCTTTAGTCCTTTAACACAAGTTTTGATTTTATTCCCTTTCTATCAAGTAAAACTTTAAAATTCATTAAATTTGTCTAAAAATTTAATTAATTTTTTAATTTTACCCTTATTAAATATACATATTTTAATAATATATTTTCTCTCTCTAACATTCAATAAGATAAACATTTAATAATGTGAATCATAAGCAGAAACAAAAAAGTTTTTCTTCACCCTATAAATAAGATCAAAGGGAGTAAGTGTTATCTAAAAATCATTCAAGTTATCTTCAAAATATTGTACATATAAGAGGGAGTATGCGTTATTTATAGATATTTTTTTATTACAGATATTATATTTATAATTTTTTGACGATATATCTATTAACCATTTTTTCAAATCACACTTAAAGAAAAAATTAAAAATAGCAAAGCATTATTCATAACATTGCAGATCTACAGTGTTTTGATGTGCTTTACTATATATATATTGACTAGAAAATGGCCCGTACTGAGACTAAATAGAAGTTCACTTATTTCTTTTTTGTCTCCGGACATTATGTGGTGTATGTACATCTTTATGAAAAAGGTTGGCTTAATAGAATGTGACTTTTATATTGTATTCAATATGAATTTGAATCCTCTCAGAAGCCACCCTCTTAGCGTTCCTCAACGCCAGAAAATCCTGGCCCTTCAATTCATATATAATGTCTTATATCTTGTTACATCATCTCATGTTAATTTAGTTTTAAAAAATAATTATGTCACAATATTTTTTTATTTTTAAAACTTGTTTTGAAAAATTGCTTTGCAGATTTTTTTCAAACGGGTATTTGTTAAATAAATCAAGTCAAGGTTTGAATAAGCCAGACAATAAGCCCTAACAAGTTTTTAGGATTATTTAGATTTTTGTAGGGATCTACTATTTAACTTATTCAAACTCTGACATAATTTATTTAACAAATATTTGTTTAAAAAATTTGCATAGTAATTTTTTAAAACAAGCTTTGAAAATAAAAAAAATCACTTTAAATCATTAGTATAAGAAATATATCTAAAGTGGTGAAATAAATTATAAAATAATTATTTTTTACAATTAAATTATGTTAACATGAAATGGTATGACAAGATATGAGATATTAGATATGGATTGAAGAGGCAGGATTTTTTACTGCAGAGAGGTTGCTTTTGAGAGGATTTGAATCCTATTCAGTACATAGTCAATTTTCACTAGGCCATAATACATTATAATTATTTTATTTTTTTATTTCTCTAGCAAAATTCACCAATCTTAAATTGCATAAAATATGAATAGTTGAATAATAACAATTGAGTATATCTTTATATTTGCTTGGTTAAAAAAAAATCTTTGTAATTTTTGTGATAAAACTAAATGATATTAGACTTGAAGGATTGAAAAGATATTTTATAAAATTAAGAAATTAAAATAAAACTTTGTGAAAAGCTAAAGAACCAACAATAAATTTAAATGCCTTAGTAAAAAATACAACTTATTTTATTTCTAAACTTTTTACCTGTAAAATAATTAAAAGACATTTTAAAAATGATAAAAATATATTAAAAAATGTAAAAGACTTTGTGAAAAGTTGAAGGACCAACATTAAATTTAAATGCCTTAACAAAAAATACAACTTATTATTATTTTTATTTCTTTTGCATTGTAAAAAAATAAACAACTTATTTTATTTTTAAATTATCACCTATAAAAAAATTAAAATAAAATTTAAAAACAATAAAAATATATAATAAAAATAATTATAAAATATTAGTAATGAACTTTAAATATATCTTATTTTTTAATAGAATAAAAAAATAAAACCATCGAAAAGAGCAAAAAAAATTGTAAAAAGGTGATAAAGAAACAATCGAATTAAAAAAAAAAAGTAATCGTGAGTCTCACAACACTGTTAAAATTTATTGTTTCAACAATGAAATTGTCTTCAGAAATTGGACCTGCTTGCTTACTACTTGATACAGAGGAAACAACGAGGGTTGAAAAACTGGATATTTTAATGCCCGTTCCAGGTTCTGCGAATAACTTTCCACTGGCTGCTGTTTATCAGAAAATAACTGTTAATGTGACCGAACATGTTGGGCCTGAGGTTTGCAGGGGTGAAAGTTCAGTTTTGCTCAAGTTGGTATCAAATATGACGAATGGGGAGCATCATAAATTTTTACATATGAGACCTCTAAATGAGAAGTTTGGAGTGGGCAGTAGTGGGTCCAAAGATATCAGGGTGGAATCAGGAAAAAAAAAATGTTACATCATTGCTACACAATTCAGTTATGGACAATAACTTCAGTGATTCTGTAAGTCCATCTGAAAAAATTGGAGCTGATTTGGCCTGCTTGCCCTCAGACTTTCATGATGTTGTTTGTGAAGGTAATAAGTTGCGTTATCTAAATATTAGCCAGAAAGAGGCGTCGACTTTTCCCAGATATTCAGATGCAAGCTCCCAAAAAGATAGAGAAAATTCACAGTTTCAGGCTGCACCTGAGTACCTCAAATACATTGTTAAAATTCCCTGCTGGCTGTGAGCTACATGAAGCCGTTGGACCGGCTTTTGTGAAAAGTAGATATTTTTGATTCAGGGGGACAGGTTGATGAGGATCTTGCAATGATGAGGATGCCAGATGAGAATTGCTGTAGCCAGTTGACTCGTGAATCTTGTCCAGAGCATCTTTTGGAAGCAATAGTAGCAGCCAATGCTTGTCATAGTAAAAATGACATCAAGAGTGAACTATCATACTCTGCATCAGTGGAGTCTGCAATGACATCCGAAAGAAGTCCTGAAGCTTCGATGCACACTGCCCCTGCTATTAATTCAGAAGGCTATTCTATAGAGTATTCTCTTGTAAGGGAGGACATATTCCACTCTTTGACTTCATCATCATGTCCTAGTCCATTTAGTGAACGGCTTGAAAGGTCTTCTGAACCTGGTAAGAACGAGAAGAGGGCTAGGCCTGGGCCAAGGGACAGGCAATGGATCCGTGATCATATTAAGGAGCTGAGAGAATTGGTGCCAAATGGAGCAAAGTGCAGTGCACAATAAAGCACATGCTCTTTCTGCAGAGCATTACTAAGCATGCTGACAAGCTAACTAAATTTACTGGTTCAAAGACAAAGGAACTGTTCCAAGTGATTCCAATAATCTGTCTTCGAGCCCGTGGGCTATATATAGAAATTAATTGACCACAATACATTTTCCATCAATTTGGAAGTGATATTTGAAGGCTGGTTTCAGTCTGTTTGCCCGTTATAAAAGTTTCCCCAAGATAGAATGTCTCTATGTAGCTGCTATCGTAGTTGGCAAGA